ACTTTCACCTATAAATATAGCTTACTTTAAAACCACATATTATATATATATATATATATATATATATATATGAAAAGAAAGAACAGTAAGATATATAATCTGGTGTTCTTATTGATATTTTTTATTTTTACAAAACAGTGCTCAGTGTAAATTTACAGAGCATAAATATTATAAATTAACTGATTTAAAATATGTGTTTTTCACTACACAGTAATAACCATGTTTCAAAAACTGAAGTTAAAACTTCAAATTTAATTATATAATTAAATTAAAAGCATTAGTTCTGTTTTATGTACATGCATACATGTGTATGTGCATTTATGTCTCCCTTTTCCTCTTCATGTTGGTATATTTGTATGCATTATCAAATATTAAAAAGAGAATATATTTTATTAATATACTTTATGCTTAATATTATTCATATTTTATGATATTTTCATTTTTATTATCTGAATATCTGACATAAGGAAAGTTGGTTCTCTGTGGCACACCACAATGTTTTTCTCGTCTGAGTCCATCCTTCAAATCTACAAATCTACCATTCATCCTTACATTGAATACTGTTACCATATATAGTCTGGTGTCCCCGCTGTTCTTCTCTAGGTCCTCGACAAAATCCAGAGATGGATATGCAATGTGATAGGTCCTGATCTGGCATCTTGTCTAGAGTCACTTTCTCACAGTTGTGATGTGGCTTCCCTCTGTCTTTTCTACAGATATTTTCATGGCACCTGCTCAAATGAGCTACTTTCACTGGTACCTCAACTGCATGAATTTAAGCGTGCTACTAGGTTGGCATTTCAGTCCCACCCTTTCACTGTCAAAACAGTTAAATGTAACCACCTCTTCTACTCCAACAGCTTCTTCTCTCACACTTCCCAACATTGGAATTCCCTTCCTCCTACTTGCTTCCTTGATAGCTATAATCTTCAAATATTCAAATGTAATGTCAATCAACATCTTCTGATACCTTGATCCTGATCCCCATCCTTTTATCCTTTCCTCAAACACCCCTCTTTACTTTTGCTCTCACTCTCTGTAACCCATTGCATGCTAGTGGCATTCACACATTGCTTGGGGTGAAATGCTTAAAAAAATAAAAAACAAAACAATTAGCACATATAAGCATAAGCAAACAATACAGTTTAAAAGAAATATTATCAATATCAAAGAAAATTGATGACAATATGATCCTTTTAAGAGTCAAGGTGTCCCTCATATTTGAACATGTATATTTTTGTTTTTAAAAAAAAAACATCTTTTTTGCATTACCCTCATTCACAAAACAGTTTGTTGTGAGAAAATTATACAAAAATGTCTTTACATAAGCATCCCTCTACACAGGTTCCTGTAATAATAATAAAATATATATTTCTTTTAAATAGTTTAACATTGAAATTTTAATTATTTACACTATTTACATTAAAAACTACTGTCCTCATCTTTTGTTATCACAGCATTTCAGCCGATATGCCATCTGGCCTTCATCAGGAGTATATTGATCCAGGTTACCTGCTGGAAATTCCAAACTGAACCCTTTATTTAATCTAAGGGGGTAGACTGTTCTCATTCTACTGCCAATCTATAGGATATCTTGTCTAGATCTTACTTTTAGTACTGCTCAGGTATTGCTCACCCAGTTTCCACTGAGTTCATTTTTATTGAAATTCAAATTGCTGATATCTTCTCTGATAAATTAAGATACTCTTTAATATTAGCAAAACAGGATGATCACTTATTCTTATCTTGTAGATGTTTAATTACAAGAATTGTTTCTGCTTCTAATAACATTGATTTACTGAAAGGCATTGGCTATTTTCTTAATTTCATGTGTCATTTCAGCAAGTTCTGCTCTTAGATTCTACTTGGAGGTAGACAATAAGGGTTATAAATAAAAGATGAGTCTAATCTAATGTTTAAAGAGCAATTTACTGTTACAAGATAAACATGATTGGAAAAGAATGTTTCCTATCATGGTATCTTTAAGACTCGTACTTCCTTGGAACTTGTTGTAAATGAGTTACTTCTTTCCTTATTCTTTCTTTTAGAGATAAAGAAAGTTTGTATGCATCTCTTTCACGTGTATGACTGTATGCATCGCTAATTTGCCTCTTTACATATCTACATGTGTATATATATCTATATATATGCATGCTCAAAACACACACACACACACACACACACACACACACACACACACACACATATGTAATGTGTAATTGACTGGCCAAGATATATAAGTTTTCAAGTGAATAGATGCTATGTATGATCATGAACTAGAGACTGGCTCTATTTATGGGATAGATATATATATATATATATATATATTAAGTATTTGGGCAGCAATCCCTCTTTTATACAAGTTTTGTTAAATACAACTAACAAGGTACTGCAATTAAGCTTTTTATTTCATTTATCTTGTGTTCATACAAGTGTTTTCATTTCTGGACACAAAACTATCCATAAATTCTGTATATCTGAGTGCTTTCAGCTATTCTTTTTTATTTTATTTTTAATTGAATGTGTGGGTTTCTTTATATATGTGCCTGAAGTTATAGCAATGTTTTATTTTTCAAAAATTGTCAACACATTATAACCACATTCGTAGTTAAGGTTACTGAGTGTTGGCTTTTCCTTTTTTATTGTAAATGCTTCTATTATTTTCAAATTTTTTTTTACATATGTGCTGAAATATACTTAGAAATATGTATTGACAATAAAATGTTCAATTTTGCTTGCAGTGAAATTTCTTTTATAAAGTAATTAAGTGTTCTTAGTACAGTATGAAACGTATGGACAGACTTACTTTATGACGGTCAGTGTAATGTATTTGTGAGTTCATGGACAAAGGCTTCATTGGCAGCTGCTGGTTTTTCCCTTCTATTGTGTGGGGACAAGGACTTAGTTGGCAACTGCTGGATGTTGTCTCGTGCATGTGTGTGTATGCACTGGTAGATCAAACTGACCTCAGAAATTGTTTTGAACCTTGAGAAACAGTATGGTTCTATTTTTATATTCTTAAGTGAGATCCAAAATCTAATTTCTCATAGCAGTGCAAACTTTTTAAATACAAGGTTTTCATTGGTTACAAAATAATTCCACATTGGTTTGTGAAAATCTTTTTCTTGAATTTGTGGGAGTGGTGAAGGGAGTTATTATTATCTTCTAAATGGTCCAAAAATAACATATGGTAGGTTTACAACTATGTCCACCAAGTATTTTGGTGGTATTTGACCTAATAATGATTGTTTATTCAGCAAACTTTGATAGGATTTTATTGGCTGAAAAATATATATAGGATTTAATTCCTATACTAGTTGTAAAATTTAGATAAGGTCACAAAGTTACTTATACAATGCAACTCCACCAAATATATCTCGGTATTTATAAATCTGAAATAATTAGGAGCATCTCTAAGTTCAGGGTCAATTATTTTGACAGTTGTGTTAAAACTTCCAACCTTAGAGCAAACAATTCAATATACTTACCACTGAGCTAGATCAACTAGTGCAATGACCTACATGTTGATTTGTATCTACTGTTTTATATCTACTTCTTTTATTCATTTTTAGTTTCATTCATAAATTTGGTTTGATTTTTGTTATTGCTGTTTGCTTTATTTTGGTCATCCATTGAAGGCAATCATTTCATTCATTTCTACCTTCTTGCCTGCAAGATGTCAATTGTGATAGTAAAATCAGCTCACCTTTCATCTATGTATTTTGAGTGAGCCTATCACTTGGGTTGTTGGCAGTGACATTTCAGAAAGAAACGTAAGATGAATGAGAAAAAGTAAAATATAAAAGCAAAGGGGGAAAGTGAGAAAGAGAGAGTAAAAGAGAGAGTAAGTACATGAAAAGAAAAGCAAAAGAAAGTATGTGAAAAAGAATGATAGAGTTGAAAGAAAGGAAAACAGAAAAAGAAAAAAGAATGAGTTTAATAGAGTGGGGAGAGAGAGGGTCAAAGAGAGAGAGTAAGTAAATGAAAAGGAAAAAATGAAAAGAATATGTTTAATAGAGTGGGGAGAGAGAGAGAAAATAACAATAATAATAATAATGTAGAATATGGAAAGAGAGATATGAATTAGATGCAGAGAGAAAAAGGAAGTATATGAAAGGAGGAAATAGAGTCAAGGGAAAGGAAGAAGAGAAAAGAATGAGATTAAGACAATGGATAGAGAGAAAGAAAGAGAGAGAAAAATAATAATGATAAATTTGGAAAGAAAGACATAAAATGGTTAAAGAGTAATGGGAAAATGTGAAAAAGAAAAAGAGTTGTGAGCAATGAGAAAAAGAAAAAGAATGATCTTAAGACAGTAGAGAAGGAGAGAAAGAGAGAAAGAAAATAATAATGTAGAACTTGGAAAGAGAGATATGAAATAAGTGAAGGAAGAGAAACAGGAAGTACTTGAAAGAGAACAAATGAGATTTGAGATAAATGAAAAAGATAAAAAGGAAAGTATGAGCTAAAGGCAGGGGGTGGCAAAAAGTGAGAATGAGAATAATACTATGAAATATGGAAAGAGAGACATGAAATAGGTGAAGATAAAAAAGCAAAAGCAATTACATGAAAGAAAATAAAAGAGAATTGAATAAATGAAAAAAAAAACACAAAGTGAGAAGTATGAAAGAGGGTGGAGAAAAAGAAAAAGATTAATTTTTTTTCTATGGTTTATCCCCCTTTTGCAGGTTATTTAAAGCCAGGTAACATTTTTAGATTGTAAATTTTTTTGTTTTTGTTTAGCAACATATCAACACCTCCCTATGGGTCATTTAATGCCAAATTCTAAATATTTTGAATGCAATTTTATTTATTTTTTTATTTTAGATAATAATGAAACAAGTCTTAATAGTTAATACATTCATAGCTGTGGAGGAAAAAAGTGGATTCATACTTTTTTTCAAGGGTAAGTGAATATAACAAACCTAACTGGAATTGGAACTTGGATCTCCAATTAAAAATTCTGATTCATTATCCATTACACCACCTGCACATCCAAGCTTACAGCACCTGGTATTCCCAAGCAGTCATCCATCTAGTTACTGACCAAACTCAACATTGCTTAATTTCGGTGTTCATATGGAGATTGGTGTTTTAATATGATGTAGTCATAAGCCAAGGGAGAAAAGGAGGCAAAAATATACAAAGCAATTTGGAAAAAGAGAGACATACAGAAAGGAAAACATTTGCAAATAGCAAATTCAAGAAAAACAAATTAAAATGTGAATATTTTTCATTATGAAAAATAAGGGAAAATATTCATTTATCTATTTATTTTTTTTCTTTGAACTCGAAAAGAAAAATAATTTTGCATATGCCATAAACTCCATTATAAAAGTGAAATACTTAAAAAACTGAAAATGTACACTTTTATTTGTTTATATCAATAGCGAAAGGAGTTTATTTAAATCACAAAAGCAATAATTGAGTCACTTTTAATAAAAGTTATTTAGTGAGAAGCTGAATTTTTATTAAAAACTGGACAGCATTTAAAATGGTTAAATTTCTTTATCAAGGGAGATAATCATACAATTATTTTACAGTCGATATGCATTTTTATGAAAACTCAAGCTAACTTATGAGAAATTTTGTAAATAGCTCTCTGTAACTATGGCTTTACTGTTAACAAGAAGAAAAGTAGGGATGACAAAACTACAAACGGGATAGGTTTTAGTTGAGACAAATAAAAGGTTTTTTACTTCCCATGATTTACAAGGTTCAATCATTTGCTCATCTTAGGATATCATATATCAGTCATGGGAGACTGAGAGTTTGCATAACACAAGTTAGTAGTCGAGATATACATGTGGAAGAAAATCAATGCACATATGTAGTCTAGTAATTGGCATCACTATTGATGGAATTCCCTTGGTGTCGTTGCTGAAAGCCTGGGTAGTCATGTAGTCTGCCATAATCTATTAAGATGTTTTCCATGGGGTCTGTTGCAAATATCAGCCTAGTCAGATATGCCTTCCGTGGGTGAAATCAGCATTGTTTTTTTTTTATTGAGGCATCTGCTGCAAAAACCATGTGGGCTTTTTTTCTGATTGGTTGAAGCAAGCACTTCTGTTTGAGTTAAAGAATTGGAGGTCCAACCGGATACAACAACATTGATCACCAAGTAAAATGTTCTTTGCAGATGAAATTTATTACTGAGCTACAGTGTTTGAATTTAGCAATTGTCGTATCATGTTTTGCTATGGAAATAAATAAATGACTTTGAGTGAGATCAAGAATTAGGACAGCACACTTGAAGGATTACCATAGACAGATTCAATGTTAATCTATCACATTAATTCTAAATTACATTTTTTTAAACAAAAGTTCATCCAATGCAATACTCCAGAGTAGTTGTTTTCAAGAAAAAGTTGTCTAACTGGAACTTCCTCTTTACAAATGGAATATAGAGGAAATATGGGGGATTTAACTTTGTGGACATAGTGAGTCCTAGGTGTAAATATTTGAACTGGTAGAACTGAAAGAATAGAGCTCATCTTAACATTTGCTATAGAAATAGCAACAGAGTAACATGGTGTCTTGCATCATTGCATTTGTAGAAAGGAGGTTATAAAGTGGAAAATAGGTCGTTCCCTACAAGACCCCATAAATGATTTTTAACTCTATCAAGGCTGGAATGGGAGGATGAGCTTTAAACACTGCTTTTATTTCTATCTTTGAAATTTGAAAGTTTCAACATACTCAAGTAAATTTTATGTTTGCTAAATATTTACCCAATTCAAAGCCCAAGAGCCACTCAAGGTAGAGGTTTACTGAATGAGGTTAGTGAAAAGAAAAAGCTGATCACTCTATTCAACATACAACTTCTTCCACTCCCAACAGAAAAAATGTCTGTTTTTTTTTTTCATTTTAGTCTGATAAACATTAGAAAAAATGTTTCTCTAGATTTCAGACAAAAACATTTATAAAGTGAGATATAGAATATTAAAATCTTTATCTCTGATCACACAGATTTTTATTTTCTTAACTTTTAATATTTGACTTTGAGCCAATTTGAAAAGACCACAGCTAAAATGGCATAACTCATCCTTTTCAGCATCAGTTGATGAAAAATTATGATGAAAATTTCTTCAGGAATTATCTGATGACCATCTTAACTGCCTGCAAGATAGAAAAAGCGACCCTCTAGATGGAGACGTTTGTAGAACAGTAATAGATTTTTAGGCATCAGGGTTAGGTTTGTGGGTATATGATAAATCAAAAGGAACTAGTAAAAGACGAACTGGCCTGGGAAAGTGCATTTTCCCTTAAGTATATTCCATGCACTGCTACATCCAATCATGCTCGGGTGACGGAAATGTCCAGAGAGATTATTTGCCTAATAATAATAAGCAAGCTATCAGCCTTACAAAAGTCGTTGTTGTTGGTTGAATAGGTTATTGCCTTCTTAGGCATATATAACGCGATTTGTACCTTTTACGCCCAGACAGAGTTGCTTGGCTTGCCTGTGATATCAGCCCAAATCAAGAATCAATCTCTTCACACTACAGCTTTACTGGTTAAAGTACCTCCCATTACTTTGAAATAAGTGTTAGCCTATATCATAATAATCAGTTTTTGAGGGAGAAAATGCTACAGTGCAAGTTCAAGAGATTGACATGGCCAAGTGAATATACATATATATATATATATATATATATATATATATATATATTATATATATATATGTATGCAATTGTATGTATGCAATTCTGAATAGATGTGTGTTTATTTTATGTATATAGATATCAATAGTATTTACACACTATATATGTGTGTGTGTCTGTGTAGAATATCTATTATTTTATATTTATATATACACATATACGTATGAGGAAATATTTACTAGGGTAAATCAAAAATTACATGCACTTTCACCATTATATTTCTTTAGACAGAAGTGCGAATAATTTTTGACTTTTGCTTGTATTTTGCACATACATACACACATATACATGCATACCCACAAACATATATGCACACATGGCTATATACAAAATATTTGTATTACTCTCTGTATCTAACCACCTATTTATCTATTTATATTTTGTATGTGTGCATATGCGTGTAGAAAATCTATTATTTTATATATATATATATATATATATATATATATATATATATGAGGAGATATTTATATTGCACAAACATAAAAAAATACAGGCATACTACACACAAAGATACATGCACACATGGATATATCTAATATATTCCTCTCTATGTATCTGTCTATACCTATGTCTGTCTGTCTCTATCTCATATATATATATATATATATATATATATATATATATATATATACACAGTGTGTGTGTGTGTGGAGAGAGATTGTCGGAAAAAGAGAAGCTGGGAAATAAGAAAATATATACACAGATGTGAGAATATATAACCCAATCTAACAATATATATGCATATAATATAAATATGTGTGTGTGTGTGTGTAATTTTGCATACATGTGTGTGTGTAATTTCACCATTATATTTCTTAATATCTCTATCTATGTCTCTGCCTGTGTGTGTGTGTGGATAGAGATTATCAGAAAAAGAGAAGGTGGGAAATAAGAAAATATATACACAAATGTGAGAATATATAACCTAATCTAACAATATATATGCATATAATATAAATATGTGTGTGTGTGTGTAATTTTGCATACATGTGTTTATGTGTGTGTGTAATTATACATACATGTGTTTATGTGTGGGGGAGTGTAGATGCATTTTGACTCTCAAGTCTATACACAATCCCTAACTGACTTCAACACATGCCTTACCAAACTTTTATTCAAATTTTTCATGGCAACATTTTACTTATCATTTCAGAATCGGATTAGCATCAAAGAGCTTTTTATTTCTTTTGATGGATTAAGTTGCTACATCTCTCATTGAGTATGTGTGCTTGCATGTGTGTGTGTGTGTGTGTCTACAGGTGTACAATGTTTCAAATCAGGTATAAATGTGGACATGTGTAGAGTAGATATTTATGTGTGTATGTAAAAAAACTATAAGAGATACTACCTAAATAGACAAGGAATTTGAACAGGACAAGCAAACCAAATGTAGTACAGACTTTTGATACTATCCTTTCTGAGCAGCACCCTTAATAAGATTAATGTACATATACCCATACCCTTATGAAATATTTCAGAAAACACAGTAGAAACTATAATTTAGGTTAAGTTTTAAAATATTTGGGGTACCATCTCATCTATCTATATGTTTTTATCAATGACCTTCCTGATGGTATCAGTTCTCTTGGTATCTTAATAGTAAGTCTGATTGATTCAATAAGGTCAAGTTGGCAGCTGATCTCAAACTTACCTACCACCTGTTGTTAAGGAATGGCTTGTTAATTTTAACACTTCCTAAATGCAAACTACTCCCTTTTAATCATCTGAGAAATTTTTTTCTGCTTTCCATCAGCATGGCAGATGATAACGTCATTCTCAGGCTATCATCTTCTGATGATATCAAGTAGGAAGATTATATTTAATCCATTGCTACGTCTGCTGTTAGGAAAGTTGGTTCACTGTATTGTGCTAGGCAATTTTTCTCTCCAAAATCTATCTTACATATTTATCATCCATGCTTAGACTGTTTCTCCCATATAGGGTTTGGTTCTCAGTATCATAGATTTAGTTTTATTTATGCTGGTCAGTGGTGCATTATCAGTAGGTTTATTGTATTATTCTAAGGATTATTAATGGTTATGTTTCAAATTACTCTAGGGGTTATTTAGTAGAAATAATTGTGGATCCAGATGCAGTTTTATGGCTATTTTATAGTGTTGTTTGTTAATGTTTTTTACCCATTATTTATTATTGATTACTTTATTATTTGTTGTTGATTATTATGTTTAGTCATGTTTATGTGTGCATTCATAGTTTGTTAATTTGTTTATTGTTTATTTAATTTGTTTACTTGCTGATTTGGATTATTTGATGTTGCTTACTTAGTTTTATTTAATTATTTTATTTATTTAATTTATTATTTATTTTTAGTTTTCAATCTCTAAGTAATGTAGTAAAAATTTGTTTTTGTATCTGCTTTTTGAGATGAGATCTGATCATTTATTTAGTAATTTGTGTTAGTCTGGAAAA